TCTAGGCTGCCCCTTCCTTGGACGCCCCATCCCTCCATCCTTCCCTGCAGGCCGTGGGGTCACACTCGGGCTTCTCCGGCGGGAGGGGCCGAGGCGAACCACCGCTGAGTAATGGAGCAGCCCGGGCGGCTCCTGGGCACGGTGCTCTCGGGCCTGATCGCTGCACCGCATAATAGGTGGGTGGGTGGCTGCGGGGAAGAAAGGTCACAGGGGTAGCCTTCGTCCAGCCCTGAGGCCGGAGGTGTCCACCTCTCACCCACAAACCAATCTGACCCTGCAGCTTCATGCCCCGGTTGCCGACCTGTTCTCAGCTGCCTACGAACGCCTTGGGTTTTTGGACCTTGATGGTCTCAGCCATGTTCAACAAGTGAGTTTGCCCCCACCGCCAGCCTTCTTGTGCAGGAAGCAGTGGAAAAAAACTGGTAGTTTCGAGCTAAGAAAAACCAGAGAGCAAAAAGTGAAATGTAAAAGTAGAGCCCACGACTGGAAACGACTATTTTTGTGGCCGCTGAAAACTAGCATTTAGAAAACAAGATTAAAAATAGAGGTGGTTGTCACAGCCTGCTTGGCCCCTTAGCAGCTTGAACACAGGAAACTGACTTATTCTCAGAGGAAGGATTTTTCTTTATTCAAACGGTGTTACAGGAAGTGCCTGCCCCTCCCCCGCACTTGCCAGTGCAGGGTTGGAGGCTCATGCCGTATATAAATCAGGTTCTGGGTGTTTAATCAGTTGACTCAGCTTGGAAGTCAGGCCCATAGACTGCCTTTGGGAGGAGTCCAGTGTGCCTTGAAAAGAAAAACCTTCAGACTTACTTTGTTTGGACAGGAATGTGTTTTCGAATACAAACTTGTATTTCCTGCCCCATCAGGCTCGCCTTGCTTATTCCTTTGGTGAAATGGTGGCATGAGAAGACTCCATTGAAGGAAGGTTTGAGTTTGCAGTCTGGTGCAGGACCTCATTCATGGGGAGGTGCTGCCAAAAGGGCTGCAGGGTCAGGCCTGTGGCCCAGAAACGTCCACAGATGTGGAGGACACGGTCTGGTTATCTGCTGCCTTGGTTCTGGCAGATTTAAAGGTCTTCTCTTATATGCCCTTGACCAGAAAAAGGTTTCTTGAGGCTGCTTGGAGACAGCTTGGCACGTCCAGGGGATGGTGGTTTCTTCACTGCTGGTAATGTTGGGAACCTTGTTACCATGGAGCGTGTACCTCTTGGGACTGGGGAAAGGGAGGTTAGCAGGTGAGAACTGAAATCCTAGCAAATGTGAGGCCCAGGGAGGGAAGAGGAACTAATATTTACTGCGCCCTTACCATGTGCCAGGTAGTGGGCTTATATTCCATCATTGATTTTAAACTGTGGAACAGGCTTCTAGGAGTCAGAACAGAGGAGAGTAGGAATAGGGGTCGGTTGATTGGAATGGGAAGTGCTGGGAGGAGGCCTGTCTGTATATGGAAGCAAGTCATGGTGGGAGTAACAGATGAAATAAAAACACGTGCTGTGCATCCATACGGACCCAGCTCTATCATGCCATAGCTATGTGACCTTGAGTGGTCAGACACACTCTCACGCTCAGCATCCTTCTCTGTTAAAAGGAGGAGACCAAACTGCCTTATATGTCCCATGGGAGCATCACTGGACAACATCCCAGAAGGCTTCAGCGCAGTGCTAGGCACAGAGCTTGTGTCTTGAACACGAAACTTGGGTCTGTGGGTGGAATGCAGTAGGAGACTGTAAAAAGAGCGTGCTTTGGAGTCAGGCGTACTTGGGCTTGAAGGCCAGCTGGACAGCTTAGCTTTGTGACCTTGGACAGGTCACTTCCCTTCTGAGCCTCAAATTCATTGCCTTTAAGAATGATGACTCTGGTCACAGACTTGTTAGTGATAATAACATGTGAAAGCACTTGGCACAGGATCTGAGGCCTTGCCGGGATTTTAAAGTAGTCATTCCTTTTCTTCCTTGCTGAGCACCTTCTGGTCCTTGGGAGCAGGGATCTGTTCAGGGAAGTGGTTTTGAGTGATTTTGTGCTCTCTCCTTTCCCTGAGGAAAGCTGGCAATGTTTGGAGACATTTTGATTGTCAGGACTTGAGGGATCTAGTGGGTAGAGGCCAGGGATGCTGCTAAAATTGCCCGATGCATAGGCAGACCCCACGTTGATCATCTGGTTTAAAATGTCAGTAGTGCCATGGTTGAGAAACCCTGAGATAGAGGAGACTAGGGGTTGGGCAGGGCTCCCCAGCCTGCACAGCCTGTTCTTTGAAAGGGCCGGAGGCCAGCTTGCTAAATGGTATGCCCTCGCAGCACCCTGTATCTCCTCACCTGCTGCAGGCCCACTACCCATCAGCACCTAGTGTGAACGCTTGGGAGACTGGCAACAGTGAGGTGACTCCAAAGCAGTGGCTCTTTTTGCTCTAGTGGACTAGTCATCCTACTCTTCCAAATGATTTTGTCTGCCAACCGTGCTGAAGAGTGAAGAGCACCAGCCAACATTTCCTGTTAAGCCTCTGGGTCTCTGCTTATTGTTCTGGGACACCAAATTAGAAAAGAATTTTGCGGTAGAAGTTATCAGTGGCTGATGCCAGACTGGCCCTTGCCTGGCTGGGGAAGAGGAATTCCAAGGCTGACAGATATGGGGTCTGTGGGTGGAGTGCCGCAGGCTCTGATCCACCTTCCACATTTGGGGGGTGGGTTCCCTCTCCAATGTGGAAGGTGGCTCACAGCCCAGCAGGGGCCGGGGAGCTTGGCAGAAGTGGCTTTGGAGTGGTGTGGGCACTGCTCAGTCAAGATGGAGCCCACACTAGGGAAGACAGGACAGCTTTGCTCCAGAGCCCTGTCAGTTTATACGTGGGTATGGCTGCATGGTATCCGATTGGGCAGAAGCCATTCCTTGTTCTATTTTTGAGGGTTTTTGGCTGAAGCCAATGTTTCAGATGAGGAAATGAAAGTCGGCTAATGTAATTCAGCTTAAAATAGGTGTCACCTTTGGGGACCTAACCCAGATTATAAATTTTTTTTAGGTGCTGGCTATTCAGAACTCAGCAAAGAATCTGTCAGTATTGCAGCTGAGATTTGGGGAATAGGGGGCAGGGGCGTCGGCTCATTTGTTGGCAAAGGTTCTTTTAGATTAATAAATCTCCCTCCGGGTAGCAGTTGGGACCTCACTGGCCTGGGGGAGGTCTTGGAAGATAACAGTTTTAGCACATCTTAATTTCTTTATTGGTTTAACTGATACAAAACATTGGATTGAGAGTGAGAAGACCTTGGTTTGTGCCTTTGTTCTTCCCTTTTGAGAACAAGGTGAGATTAATAACCTCACATGGTGGTTGTATCAAGTAGGGCAGATACAGGGACGGTACCCGTACAGAGCAGGTGCAAGCAGCTCGGGATTTTGCTGTAAGATACCCTTTGAGGGCAGTTGCTTTGCTGCTACCTTCCAGGGATCGAGGGAGGGTGTGTCCAAACTTGCTTTGAGCCCTAGCTGGACTGAAGGTTCCTGGGTTTGATTCTTGGCATGCCCAGGTTTGGGGCTCGATCCCCAGGAGGGGGCGTACAGGAGGCAGCAAATCAATGCTTCTCTCTCATCATTGATGTTTCTATTTATCCCTATCCCTTCCTCTCTGAAATCAATCAATCAGTCAATACATAAAATAAGAATCCTATTTCCTTTAAAAAACTTGCTTTGAGGGGGAATGTTTAGGGGATGGCAGAAGGGGTATGCAGCGTTGGCAGAGGTGTCCTCCACCCTCTCTGTGGCTCAGGGAGGCTACAGGCTACCGTCTAAGCAGCCTCTGTGTGCCCACCTTCAAGCCTCAGTGGGAGGTGGTTGGATGAGACAAGATGCCATTTGACTTCCCTCTTGAGCTGTTTTTGAGATGAGTTCATTAATAAAGGCATGGACATGCTCGAACTTAGCCGTCCTTAACTGGTGGTGATGCACAGGGGACATGCTTCGGGCGTTTCATGCAGCCCTGCGGAATTCTCCCGTCAACACCAAGAATCAAGCTGTGAAGGTAAATGGGGTTGCGCTGCAGCTCTGCTGGGTGCTGTTGGGACCTGGGCTATGGTTGTCCGTTGTCTCCAGCTGAGCGTGAGCTGCCTGGGGCTCTGGACAGTGTCTGTTCCATCTCTGCATCAGTGAGTATCTGCCAAGGGAGTGAGTTGGCACTGGCAGTGCTTCCACGGAAGCCTCTTGGTGTTCCTGACATCAAAGCTATCAGTGTTTATAGTAAAAGCTCCCCAAAGAAACTGTTCACTCCTCCCCAGAGCCTCATGGGGTGAGAAGTCAGCCCAGCCCTTGCTGATTAGCAGTACTATAAATTAGCTTGCCACGTGAGACTTATCGGTGGTTAAGCTTTTATAGGCTATTGAATAGGCTTTATTTGCCTAAGGATTTTCAGTGCTTTTTAAGATTTCCTGCCTTTTACAAACTAGGTGAGAAGATACAGTTGTGCTTATTGCATCTCTGAGTCTAACATTTCATCACTGAAGCTAAAATTTGGTCCAGGGAAAGGGGTTGCCGAAGCTGGGATTTTGCCCTTTTGTGGCTCACGAGATAGAGCATCAGCCTGTGGACTGAAGGGTGTGTACAATGGCTGCACCTCTCAAACATGGAAGGGAATGGCCCCTCTATTACTGGGGTGAGCACAGAGGGAAGCTGCAGACAGATAAACTTGTTTTTAAAAAAATAGATCTCCACCATTGTGATCCTGTGGATTCTAAGGCCTTGCTGGTGTCATCAAAAGTAGTGACATTTGCCCTGACCAGTGTCCTCAGTGGTTATAGCATCAGCCTGTACACTGGAGGGTCACGGGTTTGATTCTGGTCAAGGGCACATACCTGGGTTGCAGGTTCGATCCTTCACCCAGGTCAGGTTGCGTGTGAGAGACAACCAATTGATGTCTCTCCCCGCCTCCTCTCCCTCGATCCCTTTCCTTCCATTCTCTAGAAATCAATGGGAAAAAATATTCTCCTCCAGTGAGGATTTAAAAAAAAAAATAGTAGTGATGTTTCTCCCCAGTAAAGTAGTTATTCTCCTCCCTCCCAAATAATGGAATAACTTATTGACATAAATAAGGGATACTTTGAAATTTAAGTCAACAAAAGAATTTCTCCCCACTTATTTTTTTTAACCATCCCAGACGGATTAGAAATTGTGCAGTTTCAGGTGAGTTCATACCGCTTGGTTTGGTGTTTCTGTGCCAGCAGTGGGGGGCCTGGATGTGTTGGGCGGTGGCTTGGCCTCACTCCTTTTCTCTTGCCTCTGTAGGAACGAGCCCAGGGTGTGGTGCTGAAAGTGCTTACAAATTTTAAGAGCAGCGAGATTGAGCAGGCTGTGCAATCACTGGACAAAAATGGCATTGACTTGCTAATGAAGTACATTTATAAAGGGTTTGAGAAGCCCACAGAAAATAGCAGTGCAGTGTTACTCCAGTGGCATGAAAAGGTATGTGAACACATTGCCCGTGCAGGCAGCCCACGGACTCCCCTCCTTCGGGTTCAGATTAGCAGGTTAGATGTTCCAAAACAAACCTAGTAAGCTCTGATAGGCATATGAGAACAAGGGGCCAAACTGGGACATTTGATCACTTACCTCTGCCCAAAAAGCATCGGTAGGGATCCACTGTCTCTGGTAATCACAGTTGCTTTAGCTGCTGATGTATGCCAGGCAGGTCATGGGGCAGGTGACTTTGCATGTAAGGTAGATGAGGAGTTCCAGATGGAGGCAGGCAGGCTTCTGGTGGCTGGGGCTTCATAATACTTTTTGCTTTGGTGGAAGTGGAGGTGGTGGTGGTGATGGTAGGGGTGCTTGGGAAGGCAGGCTGTGCCCTCCAGCTAGCTCTATGGGCTTCCTGCTCTGGCCTCAGCCTCACCAGGCCAGAGTGAGCAGAGGCAGAAACCTTCACAGTCACTTTAAAGGGCCTTCATCCACCTGCAGCAGGAAAAACTGTGCCTGTCCTTTGCTAGGGTTGGTATAAGAGCAGGCTTTTTGCCAAGCCTGTGTCTTGCCTATATGCCACTGTCCCCGCACCCTGTAGAGCTACAGAAGCACGCCCACCATCACAGGAGACCAGGCTCTCACTAACATCCTTCCTGAATGCTCCATTGTGTTTTAAGGGAGTGATCCTCTCACTGAGGGGTCAGTCATTTGGCAGCTTTGGTGCTGGGCTAGGGTTGTGGCCTTGGTCCTGCTGATGGGTATGGTGCCTGCTCAGCAAGGTGAGGCCCTTGGTTTAGTATGTGGGGGCAGCTGTGATGCTTGGGGAAGTGAGCAAGCCCTCTGCATGGTATCAAGGCCAGGCCTTTTGGGGCCCTTTAAGGCAGCTTGGTGCTCAGCCCTATTGGCATTTCTAATGCCTCCTCGAGGTAGCTCTGATGGGCATGTCAGTTCAAGTGCTTAGAGCAGTGCCAGCAGGCTGGAAACCATGAGCTTGCCGAAGGGGAAATTGGGGGGGCTCTGTTGTGTGTGTGCGCTTGGTAACAGTGTTCTCAAGCCCAGTTCTGCCTAAAGAGTAACTCCTGGGCCTTGGCCCCAGGACAGGGCTGTTACCTTCTCCTAACTGCCTGTGCTCTTGCCAGAATCCTTTTCTGGGGTCTGTGACTTAATGATCTGGGTTAGGGAGTGCATCATCCCCTCCCCCCTGGCAAGCCAGGTTTCCCCTTGTCCACCTGGGTTCATTTGACATGTTTCCTTTTCCTGTCCCCACAGGCATTAGCAGTAGGAGGACTAGGCTCCATTATAAGAGTTCTTACAGCAAGAAAGACTGTTTAAAAAAAAAAAAGACTCATGTTGCCTTGAGAAGAATTTTGGATGCACAGGCTGGTGAAGAAGGAATTGACAATGGACCATCTTCCTAGGAACTCCCAACTATTTCAGGACATGCATCCGCTGATGTGTATTTTATTTTCAAGGTGGAGGGAGAAATTGTCTTACTGTTTCCTAAATCCTTTTGCAGGATCTGATAGTCTCTGCCTTTGTCCATGAATAATGCAGAGCTGACATTGTGACTGTCTGCCAGAGTAGCTGGCCAGTGTTGGTCAGGTGTCCCTGTGCGCACTGCCTGTTTAAAACGGGAAGGGATGCTCTGGGCAGGTACAGATCCAAGGGCTGCGGTGGAAGGGAGAGCTTGTGTTTCTGAATTGGAAACCCCCGGAGGGTTTGTACAGACATCCCATCCTCCCAGAAGGCGGGCTCTCTTGGGTTCATTGTAAAGTGCCTGCTGCATCAATAAAGCTCTTGGCTTATTAGTATATACTTTGCAGTGTGTTTCATATATGTTAAAAAAAAAAAAAAGGTTAGTGAATGGGATGGTAATGAGGGGTTGACTATTCTGGAAACTCCTCAGGAAGCAAGCATGGCAATCCAGCCTCTTGCACAGCAGTACCTCAAGCCTGGGCTACAGTGCTACTGGCTGCTATGGAGAGATGTTTTGCTGAATAAGTATTTATTGTTTTTACTCTTGATTTGTATGTAATTTGGAGCTTATTTAATAAAGTGCCAAACATTCAATAATTAACCTAGGCTTTAAAAAGTCTTTAGTTTGTGTGACTGCACTCGAGACTTAAGAGCAGGCCTCTTGCCGAAACCGGTTTGGCTCAGTGGATAGAGCGTCGGCCTGCGGACGGAAGGGTCCCAGGTTCGATTCCGGTCAAGGGCATGTACCTTGGTTGCGGGCACATCCCCAGTGGGGAGTGTGCAGAAGGCAGCTGGTCGATGTTTCTCTCTCATCGATGTTTCTAAGTCTCTATCTCTCTCCTTTCCTCTCTGTAAAAACTCAATAAAATATATTTTTTAAAAAAAAGAGTAGGCCTCTGACAGGCGTGGTCAGCATCTCCTGACACTGGATTTGGCTGTGTGATAGCAACATTCTTATCGTGAAGTTGACAAGTTCTCTTTAAAGGATTAAAAGCCAGAAACAGGTAGCAATCAACCTACAAATATAAAAACCCATTTTGTTCCCTATAGCTAATAACAATGAGCTTTTTTGAAGTGAAAGATTCTTACCTTTTTAGCACACGTGACTAGTCTACATTCTATTGAAGGTAAGGACCCCATTCATGGTCTGAAGCTCTCCCCAGTCGTGTGGGCCTTGGAGATAGACGTTGACCAAAGCACACAATCCTCCCAAATCCTGCAGAACCCCACCATTCTTGGGAGGTAGGCCTAGGCTGCTGGCTTGTTACATTAGGTATATTTATTCACCCAGACGCCGTCTGGGGAGGTTCTTCCTGAAAGACATGCTCTGTAACCCTTGAAGTATATGAGACACAATGTACTAGATTTAGTAAGTCAAAGAAATATTGACACACCATATCAAGTAAAACCCACTGTAGTTGCTTCTCGATTGAAGAGCTTTAATCAAAAAGTATATTGCACCACAAATGACTTTTCTACAGCAGTCTTATAATATAATCCCTATTTACAACATGGGAGAGAGCCAGATCCAATGCTCATATAAAGGGCCATATATATATATATTTATTTATATATATATATATTGTCTCTATCACAGAACGTTTATACAAGTAAAAGTGCATTAAATCACTTAGAATAGTTACTCCACTCTTCCTCTTAAAGCTGAAGGAAATTCAATGTGCAGGAGGCAAACCTAATCAGACTGAATCCACCAAAGTCCAGACTTCATGATGGCCCCACATCTACACCTAAACCTGCTGGGAGTGTGGGTGGGGTTAGGACCAGCTCAAGGGCTGGGGTGGCCACAGAGGAGTTAGACGGACTCCCGCAGCTGTGCTGTAACTGCCTCTGGAGAGCCCTGAACAACTCGAATTTCAGGATTCTCCTGGAACAGCTGGTAAAGCTACCTCTTCCACATCAAAATTACAGAACAGAAGGGACTCCTGTTTTGTGTCCCCAACAGGCAAATGGAAAATACCATTCTAAACAGGGTAGACATCTTCAGGGGAGAGGTAGGTAAGTGAATGGGTCACTTGGCTGGCAGAGAGCCTGGCTGGGACGAAGGTGATGCTACCTTGCTTGGTACTTCCAGGTCTGTGGAAATGTAGCAGGTTAACTGCAAATCCTTGTTTTTCTGTGAGATTTATTTCATAGATTTTAACCCTAAGCGCAATTGAGAGACAGAACTTAACAGGATAACTGATAATAAATTTTAAAGGCGCTCCAGTTACTAATTCAGTTTTTTATTTAACCAGTGAAACTTTCATCAAACTAAATCAATAAACAGTTTCCCTTCAGATTTGATATTGTGGCTTATGCAAGGCAAGCATGGTCCCTTTCTTTAGCAATACAAGTTGTCAGTCACTACCAGAGCCATCTGCATGTATCAAGTCCTGTAGCCAGCTGGCGGCTGTCTGGACACCATATATGAATGTAGTGTCATCTTAAATGGGGGTAGGGTGAGGAAGAAAGATGGCAGGCCACCTCCAATGTTTTGGTCAAGGCTGGGGGGAGGGACAGCTGCTGCCTCCTCTGAATACAGCACACTGTCCTTGACAGTAGAAAAGTAATTAGCACTTGCTCAGTGCTAGAACCCAGAATCAAGAGCAAAGTAAATGAAATGCCACCACTGCTTCGGAGGGAAGCAGACGCCAGAGAACACTAGTGAAACTACAAAGGGGCAGGAATCCCAACTTCAGAAATAATCTCTCGATGCTCCAATTTTCCTTTGAGAACATCACTACCTGGATTTTATAATACAGAAGACATTTTAGCTATAAAAAATAGTTTTAAATGGTTTACCGGCAACCTATCCAAGACAAGTACATTTATTAAGAAGGCAATTGAGTGTATTTGGATCTTCTTACACATTTGCTTGTTTTCTTCAATAAAATGAGATACTGTCAGTTGCATAGTCATTGCTCCACACTGGCTTTCGAGTATTTAGATGTACACATCTGAATTTCTAGGTAGTTTGAGAAACAAGGTAAAATATTTGCACGAAAGGTTAAAAAGCCTCTTCTAACTCATCTGAACCCAATCATGCTACCAAGAAAGGGGACTTTTTAAAAGCCACCCCCACTGAGTTCGCTGGTGACAGAAGCAGGTGAATCTGGCCTATGGGCACCATTTCAAAGGGCTTTTTGTCCAGCATCGTCACTACAGGATGGATTAGTTGCCTCCTCTCTGCCAGATGCTGGCAGCTTCAGCTTTAAGTACTAACAAAAGTTAGAAATTCAGGTGCAGCGTGCTAGCCAGAGCTGGGATTTTAGCAGCACTAGAAATGTGGGTAGTGCCAGGACCCTCCCATTTGTGACTGACTGACGGGATCCGCTGCCTCCTGAGTTTCTAATCAGCCTGCAGGGAAGTGGCCCTTAGGTCTTGTAAACAATGTGTAGACGCTTGTACAAAATACTGCAGTTACAGTGATGAAAAACCCACCCAGGCTGGTGTGTCAGTGTTCTTTTCACAGGAAGAGTGTCAGCCCACGGAGCTCCATCCTTGGGTAGTTCCATCTAGGACCATGGTATCCGAGGGTTGGAGATGGATGGCCGGATGCTGCCTTTGGGAGCTGGCTTGGATCCAAACCATGACATCTGTGTTTGAAACAGAAAAGACTCCTGAGATGAGAATCAGGAATAGGTGCAGAGGGCACTGAAAGAGCTCCCCCCCACCCCTGGGTGGCCCCTCCTGCCCTCCATGCACCCTGACTTCGGCTGTGACCAGAGCAGTGAAAATGGTTGTAGTGACAGATCTGTAGGGCTGAGCCCATTCTAAATATGGGAGGGAAACAGGAGTAAAAACTGAGTTGGCAAAACAGGTGGAATTGTAGGTATCTTTTCCTTTAATTTTTTTTTGCTATTACATAATTTATGCAGATTCTTTTAAAATATATTTTTTCTTTTTCTGTTTTAAGTCTGGGTGCTGGGCCAGACCTGGGGCTATTGACAGAGTGATATCAATTGCTTTGGAAAACAAGGTCTGTTGGTCAAGTACAGCAGAGACCTGTGGGCACAAAGCATGTGCTCAGTAAATACTGCCTGAGTCAAGTTCATCCAAAAGCACCTCTGAAGCTGATACCGCCGCTGTGGGCTGCTCTCACCTGCCAGTGCTGGGAACACTAGCTACATGTTTTAAAGCTGGACAGCAGGCCAGGGAACCCTACCTTATACTCCAGGGTTTCTTTGAGCATGTTCTCTTCCTCTTGTGAAAAGTTCAGCAACACTGACACAGCTTTTATGAGATGAAAGGCCTGAAACAAAGTAAGTTTTGCTGCCTTGGGTCCAAGTGGTGGTGGTGCTGGTGCTGGTGGTGGGAGTTGGGGCTTAATGGCAGCATTTCTGGTTCTGTTCCTGGTGTGTGCTCCCAACAGTGAGCAAAGACCATGCAGAGGTCTGAGCAATGACAGGTTCTCTTTCTCCCTCCATCTTTTACTTCGGGGACTGGCAAGATGACCAGGACATCCACAGCAGCTCTGCTCTGCAGAGGATGCGGAAATGCTGGGCAGATTCAGCTGCCTTGACTCTGGCCTCCACATCCAAACCACATCCCCTCCCAGGAGCTAGTTCCCTACTAGGTGCCCCCTTCTTGCTGCTCAAGTAGCAAGTCATTGCCGGCTGGAGAAATGACCAAGGGTCCACACTTATAGTCAAATTGGAATGCCAGAGAAAGAAACGGGTGTGGTGGGAAGCCATGCAGGACTCTGACAAATAAGCCAGGCCCCGGGACAGAACTCGGTACCAAATGCAATTCAGAAGCCCTGTACCTCGGATTCCCGACAGGACATGAATTTTAAAACCACGTGTTTAAGGTACTCGAAGTTGATCTCGCGGGCATCAGGCAGGTCAGCGTTATTTGTGACAGAAGGGGCCATGTTTGGCATCTCAGGGCCAGGCTTCTCCCGGACTTCGAAAAGCTCATTATCAGGTCTGATTTTCTGAAAAACCAAAGAAAAGATGCTACATTGAACTGCTCAAGACAGGTCAGAAAATCACGTGGGAGATTCACCCGACGCACACTGTGATCACCTGCTGGTCCTCTGGCCCCCTACGCCCCCAAGGAGGAATTGCCAGCAATCAGCAACTGCCTGAAGATAGCTCAGCTCCTCCAGGTGGGTGGACAGTTGAGAGGAGGGAGAAAGGCCCCTGGGGAAGTTCAGACATTTCCTGTGTCAGGACACATGCCCTGCGGCGGTGAGCCCCTCAGCCAGAGCAGAGGTCCTGCTCTCCTATGTTTGGGCCTGGCACTCTGCCATTCACATGCGGTACACCCATCATCTCACTAACTTCTCAGACAACATACAGGCTGGAGAAGGAGGGCATATGCCTGCGGTCACACAGCCACTTCACAGAAGCATGGTCAAGCTGGCAAGGCTGCTGTCCCACCAGCCAACATCGCAGAGACCCCTTGCAATTAACGGAAGGGCAGGGGAAGGGAAGCATCATCAAGCAGCAAGGAACCCCAGGGGACCAGAGAGGGAACAGGCAGCAGGGAGGGGAGGGCACTCACCAGTTCCTTCTGCAGCGTCTTTTTGAGTTCCAGCATCCTCTGCTGCATCTGCTTTATGGCCTGAGACAAATCCCCCACCCCAGACAAAAGCCACTCAGTAAATGCACATTTCACCATCTTTAAGGGGAAGGACAACAGAACAGAGACTCTTGGGTCCCCATACACCTGTTAGAAGTCCCTGCTTTGTCTGCTGAGAGGCTTATGCTGTCACACCTGTGTACCTGCTGCTATGGTCTCTTTTCCTTACATGGAGCTGCTTGAACATATTTGCTCTTCTTTAAAAAAATTTTTTTATTGATTTTTAGAGAGAGGAAGAGAGAGGTATAGAGAGAGGAAATAATCAATGAGAGAGGACCATCATCCATCAGCTGCCTCCTGCACACCCTCTACTGGGGATCAAGCTCACAACCCAGCATGTGCCCTGACTGGGAACCAGTGACCTCTTAGTTCCTGGGGTGATGCTCAATCACTGAGCCACACCAGCTGGGCCACATATTTGCTTCTGAAGCCTGTCAATGGCCACCAAAGTCACCGTCTACCCCTCTATGGAGCACCCAATACCCCAGTGGGGACAGGTCAGAGGCCAGGAAAGTCCCAGGTGCTCTGCCCTCAGGGCTGCTCCCAGTGCCTGCCTCCCTAAGTTGCACAGCTAGAAACATCTCTGTACAGTCTATTTCATCCTTCAGAATTACATGTATGTGCTATGCTTTCCCAATCAGGCCAGAATTCATGGTTCTCGTCATCATCATTGCTCTCCTGAAATACCATAATTTGCAATGCTTATTTTGAACAGTGTAAAAGGTCATGTTTTTTCCTGTACAATCCACCAACATTGGGTTTTATATTTTTTTACGTATTTTTAAAAAATTCACCTTTATTGTTGAAAGTATTACAGATGACCCCCTTTTTGTCCACATTGACCGCCCCCCCGCTCCCCCCCGAGGCTTTCACCATACTACTGTGTCCTTGAATTATGCATATAAGTTCTTTGGTTAATCTCCCCCCCATACCCACCTTCCCTCTGAGCTTCTTCAGTCTGTTTCATGCTTCTGTCTCTGGATCCATTTTGTTCATTAGATTTCACATATGAGTGAGATCATGTGATACTTGGTTTATTTCACTTAGCATATACTCTCCAGATCTCTCCATGCTGTCTCAAAGGGTAAGATATCCTTCCTTTTTTACGGCTGCACAGTATTCCATGGTGTAAATTTACTTGATCCTCAGGCCGATGCTCTACCCACTGAGCCAAATTGGCCAGGGCCTTAAGTGTAATTTATTACTCATTCCATTAATCACTAGAAAGGCTGAACTGTGTTCCCAATGAAAAAATTTACTATATAAGCAGCAGTATAGGAAAAAACTTTAAATAAAAATTTCTCCAAAGTCTCACAACTGTAACACATCATAATGAGATTTTCTCATGGATTTCTAGTCCATGTCACTCTTGCATCAAATAGGTACAATTTTGAATAGTATTTTTCATTTATCAGAGTTTCCACAGCTTCCTACAGTTTCCTAATTAAACTTTCAATGTGACAGTAACTCTAGGGGATTCCCATGTCTTAGTGTGTAGCTGAGTTTCCATTTTTTAAGAAATTTTTATTTATTGATTTTTTTTGAGAGAGAAAGAGAAAGAAACATTGATTTGTAGTTCCACTTATTTGTGCATTCATTGGTTGCTTCTTGTATGTGCCCTGGCCAGAGACCAAACCCACAACCTTGGCATATCGGATGACACTCTAACCAACTGAACTACCCGGCCAAGGCTTGAGTTTCCATTTTTAAACAAAGCTGTACTATGTTTTGTTTTCTCGAGAGAGGTTTTCCCGCAGTTTCTCTAGAGCATCAGTTCTCAATCTGTGGGTCGTGACCCCTTTGGGGGTCAAACGACCCTTTCACAGGGGTTGCCTAGGACCATCGGAAAACACATATATAATTACATATTGTTTCTGTGATTAATCGCTATGCTTTGATTATGTTCAATTTATAACAATGAAAATACATCCTGCATATCAGATATTTACATGATGATTCATAACAGTAGCAAAATTACAGTTATGAAGTAGCAGCGAAAATAATTTTATGGTTGGGAGTCACCACAACATGAGGAACTGTATTAAAGGGTCGCGGCATTAAGGAAGGCTGAGAACCACTGCTCTAGAGGAAGGAGAGGATTGGGTGAGAGGATCCTGAGAGTCTTGTCAAGTACATTAACCGTTTGGCTGCTGACGTATTTTTTCAGACATATGCCAAAACTGTGGCACTAATTGCGCGTGTATGGGAAAAAATGTAAAACACTTTTTATACAATAAACTCACTTGTATTGCTTTGCAACAACAAAAATTAAAAAATACCAATTGTTTACATAAATTTGTTTTAAATAAGAAGAGCGCGATAGCGCTCCTTAGCAGTCAAACGGTTAAACTGCCCCCACTACACTCCACTTAATAAAATGGTAATGGGCTGTTTCAATTTGTATTCTCTTGGTTGACCATGAGACTGGACATTCCTCCAAAAGTACATTTGCTATTTTATGTTACTCAATTTTCTAGGATTTTGGCTCATTCATTAATTTATCCAACAAATACTGATTGAGTCCCTACTATGGGCTGTCCTAGAGGCTGGGGAAATAGCAATCAACAAACAAAAATATGTTTGCCCTCAGGAGGGGAAAGTGTCAAAACCAAATATAAAGCCTATCAGAAGGCATGGAGAAAAAGAGCACGGCAAGGGGCTAGGCTTGCCTAGGCTATTGTGGTGAGGGCTCACTGACAAAATGGTGCCATAAAGGAAGTGAAGGTCAATGGAGGAAGAATCTTCCAGAAAGAAGGCTCAGTGAGTGCAAAGGCCCTGATGGTGCTTGACCGTCACAGCGGGCAAGGCCAATGTGCCCGAGAGGGGGAGTGGGGATAGCAGAGGGGGGCAGGGCTCCGTGGGCCTCTGCAAGGGCTTGGCTTTTACGGAGGGACGGGAAGACAGGCTAGAATCCCAACACCAGCTAGGGAAGGCTGGCAGCGGTGGTGGGGCTGAGAAGCAGCTGGCATGATACCAAGGGAGATCCAAAAGGATTTGCTAACGTTTGGATGTCGAGGACAACACCACGATTTTTGCCCTTTCCTGAGGTAGGAAAGATGGCAGTAGATGCAAGGGAGCACGGACATCTGGAGTTTGGTTTTGGATGTTTTAAGCTTCAGATGCCTTTTAGATACAGAGCAGATCAGTGCAGGCGTCTAGAGTTCATGGGAGCTGTCCGGAGTTGAGATATGGATGTGGGAGCCGGCAGCATGCAGTTTGGGTGAGATCACAAGGGAGTGAGTACAATTTAGAGAAAAGGTCTGAGGGCTGGACCCTGGGGCACACAGTGTTTGTGCACTTTTCTGTGTCTATTTTATATTTCACAGGAAAAGATTAAATGTGAATGTGGGGGGAAGAGAGGGAGAGGAAAAAAGGGGGAGGAAGGGACAGGGAGGGAGAAGAGAAGGAAAATGAACACTTTTCCCCTTTGTTAAAGATCTAAAAAAAAAAAAAAAAAAAAGACAACCACACAATTTGGGGGCAGAATTTCAGGCTAGAGCATAGTCCACACATTGAACTTCACAGGGCACTTTAAAAACCAGGATCAAAGGAGACCTGCGTTTACAATTGCAGAGGCCTGCTGGGGAGGGGAATCGTGACATTGAATTAGCCTCTGCCAAAAACCAGGAATTTTACAGGACAGCTCACACTTTCATGTCACCCTCAAAGGCAGATCTCACTGCTATCACTTCACAGCTGTAGAAAGGAAGGCCACAGGAGAGGTGAGAACAGGGGTCCAACAGGATGAAACTGGTGACAGCAGAGGAGGCTGGGAACACCTAGATTTGCTGCTGCTCAAGCGCTGATCCTCTGGACATTGTCTCCCGTGGGAGGCAAGGGAGGAGACTGGGGGAGTGTGAAAGGAAGACAAAAATGCAGAGGGAAATAGAAGAGGAAAACCAGGAAAAATCCCTTTTAATGGAAGAGTATCTCCCCAGGAGGTGCCCAAGGAGCATCAGCAAAATTCTCAGAAGGGACTGAGGCACAAGGACAGGGAAGGGCAGAGATATAAAGAGCCGAGGTAAAGAGCACCCTTACCTTATTTCTCTCCAGAAGTTGCTGCTCCAAGTCCTGTTTTTCCTTCTGTAGCTGCTCTAGGTCCATGGCCCCCACCTCACCATTTGGTATCCCCTCTGCAGGCGGAAGCTGGTATGCAGGCTCACGCACAGCCCTCGACCTTGAGGTTACCTACAGGGTGGGACAGCAAGTTGAGAGCCAGGACAGGGGTCAAGCTAAGCCACAGGTCCATGGGGCTGGGGGGGGAGGCGGGGGACAGGGACCAGACTCGCTCCAAAGGTGTGGACTGCTGTGCTCTAACTGCCAAGAACCAGACTATGGAGAGCCCAGCCAACGCCTTCCAGAGGGACAATCCACTTTCCACACAGCGAGTCTGCCTGAAGGAAAGGGCATAACACCTGATCGCTGACAGGCTCCTCAAGACTCACAACCTCCAAGTCAGTTAAGCAGCCCCACCTTAAGGAAAGCTAAGGCATCCCCAGGCCAGTGAACCCAGCAAGCTTCCTTGTGTCTGCCCATTGCCGCCTCCTACTGGCAGACTGCAGTGCTGCCCTGTGGTTTGCTGCCATGCACCATGGCCTGGCGGGCTGGCATGGGACTTACCTGGAGCTCGCTGACTGAGAGTGCCAACCCCTGTTCCTGGCCTGGCAGCCTCAGCAGGTCCTCCCGCCCCGCGGCTGCTTCGGATTCCTCTGCCCTTAGGTTTCTCAGGGCCTGCAGCTCACTGTGCAGCTGGTGTGCCTGCAGCAGGGCAGCGTCATGACCTAGGCCGGGCAGAGGAGGGTGAGCCCAGTGACCATGCTGCTTCACGCCTGGGCCACCTCAGGGTGGGGTGCTGGGCGGGAACAGGGCAGAGCCCTCACCTTTCTTCAGCTGGAGAATCTCCTGCTCTTTCTGGAGAATCGCAGCCGTGCTTTCCTGCAGACTCTGCTCCTTCTCATCTACTATGGACGTCAGGTTCGCAGCCTTGGAGGAAACCCACGCTGAGAGAAGGCTGGCAGCAGTGGCTCCATCTCCTCCCTCTCCACTGCCCAGGCCTCCAGGGAATCCCTCCCTGAAGTCCACAGCCTAGAACGTGCCCCAAGCTCATCTTTGCTCAGAATCATGCACACACCAATTCTCCTTGGCAGGGGCCCTGCAGATGGGCACTTGCCCTCACTGCCTCTCTGGCCTGCACTGGGCCACCCAGAGAAGTGGCCATTTTGCTCAGCCTTCCAACAAGCTGCTTTTAAGCGTAACTTCTAGGTCCCCTGTGCCTGTGACATGCCTGGCATTTTCTATACACGACCTCATTATGATACCCTGGAAGGTGCGATCATCCTAGAGTCATTTCAAAAGCAACCTGAGACTTTATGCACTTACCCAAGGCCTAGAGCCAACTCACTAGGAGGTCTGGGGCTGATGCTGACTTTGTCTTCAAAGGAGGTTCTTTCCACCCTCCCTTCTGAGAGCTCACTGGTATATGGCCCACCTTACAGAATTAATGCCCTGTAGGTACCTGGGCATGGGCCCTTCCAGGGTGATGTTTATAACAATAACTGACCACCACAAATCCAAAGGCCATCCTGTGGGGTGAAGGTTTCTTTGTAACACTTTCCTCCTACTTTTCTAGAGACTTCCAGGGAATCACACAGCTGCCAGCATTCCTGAGACCTGGGCCACGCCCTGCCCTGGACAGATGGGGAGGTAGGCTGTTCCTGCCGGGACGGAGGTGAAGGCATGACTCTTCAGCTTACCTGTTGCTGAAACTCTTCCCTCTGCTTCCGTACCTCCTCCAGGGCTTGAGCCATTGCCACACTCACAATTTCTCTTTGGCTCCATTCTTCCTATAATTCAGAAAATGGGTCGGAGGTTGAGGCCAATAACTCAGCACGTATTTTTTTTAGCTCTTACTTCACATGAAGCCCACAGAGGGAGTACTGTCTTGCAGGGCTAGACTAACATTGTTCCTGCTTCCCAAGGTTCCCAGGCTGCCCTCTCACTGCAGTGCCTTCTGTATCCCTCTGAGAACTGCCCTGGGGACACCCCAGCAGCCTCTCTGGAAACTACACCACATGAGCACAGCAGCCAGCCCCAGGCCAAGGCTGTGGGACCGAGAATTAGAAGAGCTGGTCTAGTGAAATTAACACAGAACAAGAAGAGAGACTCGGGCTCGTGTGAATGGTGTAGTGCACTGGAACAATTCGGTTACAGAAAAAATAATAAACAATTATTGAATTTTAATAGGACAAAATGTCACAGGTTCACCAAACCTACCCATTTGACTGGAGAGAAAACTGAGGCTCTAAGAGGTTAAGAAAGCTGCTCAAGCCAGCACCCGTCTGAGCTCAGAGCCGAGCCTCTGGATGCTACACTCCAGCACCCAGACTAACTTCGGCCCCGAGCAAGGCTACCTCACTGGCCTTTCCTCAGAGTGCAGGGATTATCTCCTGGCAGACAGACACATCAGTCCTCTTCCCTGAGACATGCCATGATCACCCATCAACCCCCAGATAAATACTATGACTTCTCAGTTGCCCACATTACTGGTCAAAGATGTCTGCTGTTTCTATCTACCTAGAATCAGCCCCCTTTATTTAGATAAGAGCCTCGTTGTTGTTATTCTCCATTCCCAACCTAGCGATTCTATATGGTTCTGGCTAATAATGATGCCCCCACTTTGTGGCTACAAGGTAAGCATGTGGTTCAGGTCTGGCCAATCACAGTACCTCATTCCCTTGGCCAAATCAATCTGTCCACAGATGAATCAATCAGAATCCCTTTTTATATTCAGGTGAAGCTGGGGAGAGGCCCTCTAGGCCCTGTGGTTGCTAAGCTGGAATGTTACCCGCTTGGAGTGGCTGTGGTGACATTTCCTGATCTGTAGGATGCAGCCTACATCATGGAGAAAAGCAAGGACAAGAGTTGGATGACCCCCAAGGCAAGAGGCAGCATGGAATAGGAGAGAAGAACCTGAGCCCCCAGATTCCAGTCAGACAAGTGTTTCTGGTTCTGTGAGCTACTCAGGTCCTCCTACAAAATCTCCCTTTCCATTCCTGCCAATACACGTGGGTAAATGTAACAAGATGACAGTCTTGTGGCCAGCGGCATTCTGGATCCCACTGTGGAGTTGTCGGAATTGACCTTCTGTGAGTCCACTTCTAGTAGTCAAGGAAAATTGGTGCTTGAACTCAAAAGGCTGACGGTGGGACCCTGAACTACCCCTCACTGGGGATGCTCTGTTGATACAGGAGCAAAAGGTCTCAGGCTGGCGGAGCTGTGAAACCCTGCCTGGCCTGTGGGCCCAGGGTGGGAGGGGATACCTCATGCCTCTGCAGCAGCCTTTCTGGGGAAGTCCAGGAGACGCTAGGACTGCTATGTCTAAGAGGACAGGACGCAGGCTATGCAGACTGTAAGCGAGAAGACAGGGAAGCAGGGCAGGGCAGGGCGCAGGGATTCAGCACCTCCATGCCAGGAACTGCACTGAGCACTTTCCAGCCATGGTCACACTTAATCCTCAGAGTGATCCTCTGGAGGTCACAGGTTTAAACAAAAATCCCCCAAAACTGAATTCCCCCCAAGAATCAGCTAGTGTAGGGCTAGGCTGGCACACAGAACTGAGCCAACGTGGCTCTAAACCTGTGCTGTTGCCATAGACACTTGCGCCTCAGGACCACGGGACTGGCGGCTGGCTGGCACAGCTCGGGTTTGCTGAGGCGCCGCCACATGTGCAGCTCTCTGCACGGGGAATGACTTCCCTGAGAGGCTCAGGGAACAGCTGTTTTGAAAAATACAATTCCACATATGTATGCACCTAAAAAGAGTTCTTCAAAGAACTTGAAGCAAAGATTGACAGAAGTAAAAGGAGCAAGAGACAAATGCATGATCACAGTGGAAGATTTAGCACACCCCTCTCAGTACTAATGGAACAAGCAGACAAAAAAAATATAAAAATAAGAGAACAGATTTGAACACTACTACCAACTTGATCTAATTAGCACTTATAGAATATTCTCCCTAACAGTAGTAGAAATATATTCTTTTCAAGTGCACTGAAATATTTACCAAGCTAGACTATAGGCTGCATCTTAAAACAAGTCTAAAAAATATCAGGATGAAATCAGTTAGGGTATTATCTGACCATAATGGTATTAAACTAGAAATCCAAGACGTTGAGAAAATTCCCCAAATATCTGGAAATTAACCACACTTCTAAACAGCCCATGCGCTGGCTTTTAAGATACTGCTCTCAGCCCACATCCGCCCTTCTCTATTCTGCTTTGTGATGCTGCACCTGGGACTCTGCAAACCACTTTTTGTGCATCCAGCTGGCTCCATATTAATCTCTGCCAACAGGGGGAAGCTGGAGGGAGACTGTAAGGCAGGAGGAGGGAGAAAAAGGCTTGCTCCTTCCCTCAGCTTCGTTTCCAACACTTGGGGCTGAATTCATTCACTGCCCTACCCCCCAACACACACACGCGCCAGTGCACAGCATTCCCCATCCGGAGGCCTGAGTCAGACCTGTGGGGTTCCTCGTCTTAATTCCTAAATTTAATAATTCCAACTTCTTCCCTTAATTCCCTTAGTCCTGGGTTGGAAGCTGCTTCCTTCAGTTGCTACCTTTGAGATATCTCTTAACTGTTTCAGTGCTGGACTAAAAACTTTACATTAGAACGTAAACTCTCAAATAACTGGGGCGGTTCCTCTCTGCTGACTGGACCATGAGACATACCATTGGTCAGATTTACTGTTTCTTCTCATATACATATTTGCAATAATCATTGTTCTTCATTCTTTCTTACCTCACATCTTCCGTACGTCCACCTAGAATTTCTTTCACCTGAAAGGTGCTCTTTAGTACTTCCTTAGGTGCAAGTCTGTTGGTGACTAATTCTTTGTTTTTGTTTTATTGGTTTTCTTTAGCTCTACTACCATGCTGTGTCAGTGTATGGATTTTAAAATCTATCCTGTTTGGATAGAATGGTTCTTACACCTGTACCTGTGACTTACAGCTTTCATCAGTTCGGAAAATTCTCAGCCATTAGCCCTTCAATAATGGCTCCCAACTTCTTTGTTTCATTGCCTTCCAGGCCCCTAATAACACATGCTAGAACACCTCCTGTGTGTCTTTTACCATTTCTTTTCTGTGTTTCATTCTGTCCTTTCTTTTCACTAATTCTCTCATTAGTTCTAATCTGCTATTAAACTCATTCGTTGTTTTTTATAACAGCTTTATTGAAGCATAACTGATGAATAAAATATATTTAAAGTGTGCAATATGAAGAATTATGGTGAAAGCATCACCACAGTAAAATAGTGAAAATATCCGTCACCTCAAATGTTTCTTCATGCCCTTTTATAATTGACTGCATTAGTGTCAGCTATTGCATTTTTCAGTTCTAAAATTTTAATCTGATTTATTTTCAAAATTGCTGTCTTTTAATAATAAAAGTTTCCAAATCTCTGAAATTTTGTCTTTTCTGACAAAATTTATGAGCATGGTAATGTCTGAGCCTCCTCGCAGGTCTTCCTGCTTCTGCACTTGCTTCCTTACAAACCATTCTCCAGAGTTAGAGTTAACTTTTTAAAACAAAACTCACATCTCTTCTCTGCTCAGAGCCTCATGGCTTCCTTGCCCACTTCTCCCCTGCTGTCCCCCGCCCACCGAGCAGCACCCACACCCACCTTTATGCTGTTCTCTAAATAGAGAAAGGCCTCAGTGCCTTTCTATTTGCTATTTCTTCTGTCTGGAATATTCCCTCCCCAAACATAGACATTGCTGGCCCCTTCTCATTATTCAGAGCTTTTGCTCAAATATCACTGAGGCTGCCCAGGCCTCCATAGCTAAAGCCCTCTCCTCCCTGCTCTGTCCTTCGCCCTGCTTTCTTTTCTTCAGAGCATTTATAACTATTTATCACTTGTTTACTGTTTCTAGTTACAAGCTCCACCAGGGGACGGAGAGGGTGTGTGTGTTTGTCTTGCTCATTGCCACATCCCAGCACCTACAATGGTGCCCACAGGTACTCAAATGTTTGATGAAGGAATGCATAAAAAAATCGACCCCAAAGTGCAGGCCCCCACATACGGCTCTACTGCAACAGCACCTACAGAACTTAGCAGATCCTGTTCCTGAAAGCTGACCCCGTGCAGGCCCTCAGCTATGGGTGTTCTCAGAGAAGACCTTGGCCAAGGGATCCACAACATCTTTGGGTCATGACCAAGCCGGGCAAGTACTGCAGTGACCCGTCATCCACTACAGAAAGGGGCGGGAGCCTGGAGGCCTATAACAAAGTGGCGGAGTCTCTTTCCTCCTCATCCAGTTATGTCCAGGAAATGAAGGGACAGCATCTGAAAAAGCACCATGTTCTCAGAAGGGGGAAGGTAGCAATGCAGCAGACTGTTTCCTCATTTAGGTATACGGTGCCCAATGCAAACCAACCAGTCCTGTGACCTTCTGAAGCCTTGCTCTGCTAGTCTCACTGGAAGTCACAAGCAGTGGTGCTCTGACAGTGGTTTTCCAGGCAGCTCTTGCTGACACAGAGGAAGGGCTGGGCCTTGTGGTGGAGTGAAAATAAGACCAGCACCACCTCTCAATAACTATGGAACTTGGAGCCTCAAAGGCAGCTGAAAAGTGAGGGTAATTCTTCCTACCCTCCAGGATCACTGAGAGGACTTAGTGAGGTGACAATTTCTAGCAAATGCCTAACAGAGCTACTGAACAAATGCTAGTTCCACTGCTTCTCCAAGTGAAAGGCATGCTGCTCGTGAGCTAAATACCTTTAGCTTCTTCAGTTCAAGTTGGTGATGTTGTAAAGAACGTTCACACTCATTCTTGCTTTCTTTAAGGAGTGCATTTTCTTGTTCCAGATCCCTCTGCAAAGTGAGAAAAGCATAGATAGAAAGAAAAGGTCTTTACCATATTTCCCCTGAGCACAGTCCTATCTCTTTGACAAGAAACCTTTAAAAATGCCTCCTCCCTTTTTTGGGGAGATGAGAATGGGGTGGGGCAGAGAACTCCTCACAAGAAAGAGGCACTTGATTCTGAAGATCTGGAACAGGGGGAGGGGCCAGAGAAAGTAGAAGCCACTAGGGAAGAATATGAATTTTACAAAGATTGGGAAGAAGCTGATGGGACTGGTCAGGGAGTCCCTGTGCAGCACTAGAAAGTGTCTAGTTGGAAAGACAAAAACTGCTCCCAAATGTGATTCCCTAGTTCAGAGTAGGGCTGGTCTTCCTGTGAACCTGGTGCTGAGCAGCACAACCTCACTCCTTCCTTTACTCACCACCTGACGCTCTGCAGCCGTCTGGTCAGCTGCCCGAGCCGTCTCGAGGGCAGCAAGCTGGGCCTCCAGAGCGTGGACGTGCTCCGTGCACTGCTGCTGCAGAGCCAGCACCTGCCGCTGTGCACGGCTGCTCTCCTGGTTTGCGGTGGCCTGTGGGGGTACCAGAGGATAGATATTTGCAAGGACAATCGGGGCCTTATTCTGTTTCTCGGTGACCCATAATAGGTGTCCTATACAAACAACTCTCCTTTCTGACCTTCTCCAGCCTGGGTGCTGCCAGGGTCTCCACCTGCAGGCTCAGCCTATTGCCCCAGGCCCTGGTCTGCTCAGGAGCTGGCATCTGGGATGGGTCTTGGTGCTGGGGGGACAGCTCTGCCCTCCCTCGCTGCACTCAGTGCTGCCCTCTGCGTATAACCCAGTGATGAACTGGGCTTTGGTATGAGAAGGATGCAGCCTGGTCTTTCTGAGCCTGCTTCCTCTAGAGCAGTGGTTCTCAACCTTCCTAATGCCGCGACCCTTTAATACGGTTCCTCATGTTGTGGTGACCCCCAACCATAAAATTATTTTCGTTGCTACTTCATAACTGTAATTTTGCTACTGTTATGAATTATTATGTAAATATCTGATAGGCAGGATGTATTTTCATTGTTAGAAATTGAACATAATTAAAGCATAGTGATTAATCACAAAAACAACATGTAATTATATATGTGTTTTCCGATGGTCTTAGGCGACCCCTGTGAAAGGGTCGTTTGAACCCCAAAGAAGTCGCAACCCACAGGTTGAGAACTGCTGCTCTGGAGCAAGCATGTCAAACTCGCTGCCCACAATGAATACTTTTGCGGCCCAGTCAATATAATGGTATGTAAGAAACATTTTAATAAAAATTTCATAACTTAATTTTTACAATATTCTGTTATACATAATTATTAATAATGAGCTACAATGTTCGCTAATGACTGATTACTATAATTGTGTTGCATTCATTTCCCTTAACACGCCTTACGTGTAGGCATACCATTTCTCTTCACTAATACTAGCAGCAAATATTTTAGTAGCCGATTGCCACATCATTAGTCTTGTACTGACTTGTTTGGTGTGAGCAACAGAAAATATTTCGCATTCGGAGAACAAGAAAAATAGGTTGATTTGCATTACGCTTATTAACTTGTGCAGTTATTCAGTGTCTGGTAAGTTAATGTTCAAGAAAAAATATTAATTTTTATTAAAATGTTCTATTATTTTATGTTAACGATTACTCATTTTGGCCCTTTGTATTCAGCATGTCTCTATCGGAATAAACCTACGTTTCTATGAAAATTGAAGCTTTTGTTTTTTTACGGCCCACATAAACTTAAACCTTATTTGGCCTGTGTTAGCCTTTGAGTTTGACATGCTTGCTAGAGAATGAGGATAATAGTGCATACCTCTTAGGTCTGCTGCAAGAACTAAATGAAAACATGTGCAGAGTACTTAGCACAGTTTCTGGGACAGGGTAACCATGCAACGAATGCCATTTTTATTTCTCTAGTTGCTAACTCAACACCTCTCCTGAGGCTGCGACAATTGGTCAATCCCTCGTCATCCTCCCCCAAAGCTCGGACCTGTTCTCCACAGCCCTGGCTGCAAGCTGAGGTGTGACTGCCAGTGAGTTACCACCTGTAATAGTCCCACAACTAGGCTGGGCCCTCCGGCCAGCTGTCAGGTGGGAATTAGCCAGTCCCTGCCTCTCTGGGTAACTCAGAGCCTCCAGCAGGCCTGACTCCTTCTACCTGCAGCTGCCCAGCTGCCCACACCCAGCACAAGTGTATATGAAGTCAGGCCCAGATACCATTCCAGAAGTTGGGGTATCAGCAAAGGCATAAGGGAAGGCATCGAGGGCCTAGACCACAGCAGCACAATAGCTACTTACAAGCTCCTGAATCTGAGATTCCTGAGCGGCCACAGCGTCTCTGCTCTGTTTCAGCTTCTCCTCAGAGGCCTGCAGGCTCTGCTCTAGTTCTTTCACCTGAGTGGAAACAGAAGCATTCTTTTTGTTGTTGTTGTTAGTCCTCACCTGAGGATATGATTCCATTAATTTTTAGAGAGTAGAAGGGAGAGGGAGAGACAGAGAAATATCAATGCAAGGGAAACACATCTATTGGTTGCCTCCCACATGTGCCCCAATTGGGGCCAGGGAACAAGCCTGCAAGCGAGGTATACGTCCCTGACTGGAATCGAAACCAGGATCCTTCAGTCCGCGGGTCAATGCTCTATCCGCTGAACCAAAATGGCTAAGGCCAGAAGCATTCTTTTGCTGGTGTGGCTCAGTTGGGTGGAGCATCATCCCATGGACTGGAAGGTTGTGGGTTCGCTTCCCAGTCAGGGCCCGTACGAAAGGTAACCAATTAGTGGGTATAGTTCTCTCACATCCATGTTTCTCTCTCTTCCTCCCTCTCCGAAATAAATTACAAAAAGACAATCTAAAGTAAAAAGCCCCCTCATCTTAAAAAAAAAAACCTGAGAGTAAGAATAAATGGCTTTAAAAACTAAATTAATGGGGAATTTTTATCTGACTCAAGCTATCTATTCCATTTTCTCTTGTTTTTGGAATAAACTCTGCCCTTGGGGAACTTTATTATTAAAACAAGCACAAGAAGGTGGCAGCTCTGTCAAGGACAGGTGCCCAATGAGAAGAGAATGTTTTTAGGTCTCATGGTTCCTCAGATACATTCACATGACATGATTTCACTAAAACTACCCGCTATGAACAGTGTGAGTACTTCCACAGAGGAGACCAGGAATGTTACTTGTCCATAATCATAAATATTATTAGTGACAGAGCCAGCACTGAAACCTAGCTTTTTAAACTCCTTTCAGAAACTATCTACTCAAGTCCCAGTTAAGAGACACAACTCAAGAAAGATTTCAGATCCTCAAATGTTAAACAGAGTTACCATATGTCCGGGCAAGTCCACTCCTTAAAATATGTTTATCAAGAAATAAGATTTACAAAATGAGCTAAATTGCTATGGTTTGAAAGTCTGTGTCCCCTCTCCCAAATTCATATGCTGAGATCATGACGTGGGGCCTTTGGGATGTGCTTAGGTCATACGGGTAGAGCCCTTGAGAAAGGGATTAGGGCAATCATTAAGGAGGTACCACAGAGATCCTCTGCTCCTCCCACCACTTGATACTCCTTAATCTGGCAAAAAGAAAAAAAAAAAGAAAAGAAAAAGAAAATGCTGAGAAATGCCAATGTTGTAAAAGCCCTCAGATACAGGAAACCCTGGGCATGCTGGGGGACTAGAGCCAGGAGCAGCCCTGCTGGGAACATCCTTATCCTATTTAGTCACATTGGTCACATGCATTCTCTCTCCTCTTTAAGGTGACAGGGATAAGGACGTTCACTGCAGTGTAATCTGTGGTCACAGGAAGAAGGCAACCTGTATGCCTATCATCTAGTAGATAACTACAAAGTAGAGTAGGTAAGTACAGTGATGTGGACACAGAAGATGGAGCAGTTGAAGCTATGAGAGAAGACAGCATAGCTATATCATTTACTTAAATGAGCACAGAAAACAGTGCCACACGTTTTAGGATAACCCAACAATAAAAGGATTTCTATTAACCATGTCAGAATGGTTTCCTATGGGAGGCAGAGAAATGGGGATAAAAGGGAACAAACAAACAAGAAGACAACTTTGTGTGGAACAATGACAATAATGTGGCAAGAATGAAGAAAATGCCTAACTCAACTCAATAATAAGTAAGAGCCAAAAAACAGTCCCTTCAAAAGAAAACCTCTGACCCAAGGGAATTCTCAGCCACAACCAAGTCATCAAACCAGATTACCACCCAGACACTGCGATCACTGGCAGTGAGGTCAATACCCGCGTCTCCAGGATGTCAATGGCCTTGGCCTGGCTGCTTCTGGCTGCCAAGAGCTGCTGTCTGGTATCCTCCAAATTCTGCTCAGCAACTGTTTTCTGTAAGTGGAAGAAGAGTAAAGGAAAATAGTCACTTCTTCATTGAATAAATATTTACTGATATCCACAACATAACTATGATTTCTAAGTCTCAAGGGACACAAATACATTAAGATAAAATTCACATATCATTAAGTAAACACAGATAAATTTGACAGTCCTTTGACCTTGTGGCTAGGGCAAAACGATTATATAATAGAATGCAATAGTGCCTATAAGAAGGAGTAGAGAGCAGAATATGCTCATGGCCTCAGGGAAATGGGAGGCTTGACCTTGGAAGCTACAACATGCTAAAAGATAAAGTGATGGTGGACTCAAGTCAAGAAACAAGACTAGAAAGTGAGGCAATGGGCAAGTTCATGAGAAGCTTTTTATGCTGCAGAAAGGAGCTTGAATTTAATTCTGAAGGCAATATTTTTCAAAGTGGAGATGTCTAAGCATTGGCATTAAAACTTACTTGGGGGGTGTTAAAGTTGAGGCCTAACTCCAGGACTATTACTCCAGAATTCAGAATTTCCAATGGTAGGGCCAGAGATATACACTTTAAACAAATTCCCTGAGTAGCTATTAAGCACACTAAACATTATAATAATAATGATGGCACAATAATGATTATTATACTAACCAGAAGCCCGGTACACAGATTCATGCACCGGTGGGGTCCCTCGGCCTGGCCTGCACCCTCTCACAATCCGGGACCCCTCAGGGAATGTCAGACTGCCCGATCCCCACAGGCCAGGCCAAGGGACCCCGCCAGTACATGAATCAGTGCACAGGGCCTCTAGTATGCATATAAGATCTTTGGTTAATCTCTTCCTGCCCTCTCCCCTCCCTGACTTCCCTTTGAGATTCATCAGTCTGTTCTATGTTTCTATGCCTGTGCGTTGAGCGTCTGCCCCCCGGTGGTCAGTGCAAGTCATAGCTACGATCAAACGGTCGAAAAGTCACTTAGGCTTTTATATACATAGCCTAGAGGCCCAATGCACAAAATTTGTGCACGAAATTTGTGCACGGGTAGGGGCCCTAGCAGCTGCCGGCTGCTGGCCAGGGCCTCCCTTCCCCAGCTGCAGGCTGGGGCATTCCTTCATTCCGTGCCACCCCCTGGTTGTCAGTGCACATCATAGCAAGCAGTCAAACTCCCGGTCGGTCGAACTCCCAAGGAGACACTTTGCATATTAGACTTTTAAATATATAGAAGATAGCTGAATTATATCAAGACCCTACTATGTTCTAAGCTTCATTCTAACCACTTCACATATTGTAACTCATTTAATCCTAATAACAACTCTATGCATTTGGTACAATAATAACCCAATTTTACAGAGGAAAAATAAACACAAAGAGATTACATGGTTAGCTTTAAGTCACAAACCAATAAATAGAATAGGTGAGATACAAACCTACTCTGGTTCTAGAAATCAATTTACACTCTAGAACCCACATTATACTCACTGTGGATTGTAGGGGAATTGTGTAAGGTCTTTAAGTTTAGGAAGTTTAGTTTGGCAATAACTTTGTTAGAGGGTGAAGGAGGAGAGACTGATGCTGGGTAGGCCAGTCTGGAGACTTCTAATATGGACTCGGCTATAATGGCAGTGGAGATAGAGGTATGTAGTGGAAACTAAAGACAGAAAGTGAGGGTGTAATCTAGGCCCAAGGCCTTGGCTTTGTCACCTTTGTCATGGTGAGGTCAATCACTGGTAAACAAGAGGAAAAGGAGTGAAATATAGGCAATGAACTCAGACCTGATGAGAAAGCAAGTTCACCTACATCACTGACCTGGGCAAAAGGTAAGTCTTCTCAATAGCCTCCTCTCAGCTAAGGAGAGTCCACTTGCTGCCCAAGGCAATTATGCTGAAGCCAAAGGCAGATGGTAACAGATGGTTCCTTGGCCAATGTAAAGTGCAAAAGGGAGGAGAGCAAAGCAATAAGACAAGACAGTCCAGGTGGAGTAAATTCCTAGGTGGGCTGATTAGTGATCAGCATGCTATTTAAATGTTCACAGGCATCTCTGAGTAAAGCTTTCCCTGAGGAAAACATGTCCTACACAGGTGACATGAAACTCTCTCTGCTATAAGCAGGACCATCAAAAGTTGGAGAGAGTACTCTTCTCACCAAGATCTTTGCAAACTCTCAGGACCTGAAACTCTAGGATTTTATGAAATCTCCTTCCCCAAATTGGCTGGCTCAGAGAGAGCTAATTACCTCTTTCAGGAGTTCCTGCACATGTTCTTCTCCTGATAAATTCTGCTCCAGTCTCTTCTCTAAGGATGTGACTTTCTCCTGCAAATGTGTGATGAGTTTTTCTTTCTCTTGAGTTTCAGCAGTGACCTGCAGGTGAAAACAGAGATTACATTACACTGTAAATGCGCTCTCCCTCCCTTCTGGTCCCGAGGACCATTGCGTTTCCCGGAAATTCTGTTCTCCACTGCATGCCAGAAGAATATATTGCCAGAAAATCTTCCCTGAAAATGGGACATAGAAGATACAAAATCAGAACCCAGCACCACTTTGGCATCCAGTTCAGACCTCATGCAGTAGCAAGAGGCAAATGCCTGCCCCGAGCATCCCACAACCTGGGACAGAGCAATGCTCTTACTCCGTGGAATCTAGCCAGGACCCTGAGAAGATGCTCCTCCTCAAAATATCTCAGTTGGCCCTAACCGGTTTGGCTCAGTGGATAGAGCGTTGGCCTGTGGACTGAAGGGTCCCAGGTTCGATTCTAGTCAAGGGCATGTACTTTGGTTGCGGGCACATCCCCAGTAGGGGGATGTGCAGGAGGCAGCTGATGGATGTTTCTCTCTCATTGATGTTTCTAACTGTCTATCCCTCTCCCTTCCTCTCTCTGTAAAAAATCAATAAAGTATATATTTAAAAAAAAAAATCTGTTGTATTGTGATCTACTAGCTAAATGAATGCTTCTCCTCACACTCTCATCAAGCATGTGTTTAATCCTATCAATCTACAGTCCAACAGGACCTACATCTTTATCCCATATGTCAAGTCCATCAGAGATAATCCCATGCAAGAAGCTCCCAGCCAGCCTCCAATAACCTAGAGCGCTCCTGGAAACATGAGGCTGGATGAAGCAGTGAGGATGCCCGTCAGCTGCCTTAAGGCCAAAGAGAGAACTTGTAAAACAAATGATATTCACCCTGGCTCGCAGCACAAGGACCACAGAGAGCTGCTGTGCATCTCATTCCTTAGCCCCAACCTGGGTCCCCTCCTAGAACTTTACTTACCTTTATGTTTTTTATCTTTGTTTTTTGTTCTATTTACCTTTTGCAAATCAATGGAAAGCTGCTGAATGAATGCTTGGAGCTCTTGTTCCTTTTGCTCCAGGGCTGTGATCTTATTTTCTGCACCTGTTGTTGAAGCTGTCACAAGATCTCTTCATTGAAAGAAAGCAGACAATGAATAAATTTGGATAACTCATCTAGGAAACTCTCTTCCACAGGAAAAATACAGCTGTTTTCTTTATATGTCAGGGCTGCAAACATTTGCCATGTGAAGATTAGAAAAAAACGGAGATTCTCCTTAGCTCTCTCTGAAGCAGAAGCCCAAAGAGAAAAATTCCACCCAGGTTTAAACAAGATATTCTGTCTGTGGTTTCTCAATAGCTTACAAACTAAACACACTAAATTTCTCAGCAGAGTTGGAGGGGCTCTGAGCATAGGGAAGGGAAGGGAAGGGAAGGGGAATGAGGATGTGTGTGTGCTTTGTTTTGTTTTTTGTGGGGCGGGGGGGGGGGGGGGTGATCATGAGCCCTAGGTAGATAAGGACAAGACCAGAAGCCTTGGCCAGAACTGAGATCAGAAAGTACTGCAATGAGTAATGGGGAATGGTGGGCAGGTTCTAGCCAGAGCTACACTAACACCGCTTCCCATGGGCCCCACAGACCAAGCAAGAACCTCTGCTCTTCCAGCGTTGAGCAGTGTCTCTGCAATTCTTCTAGCTTCTGTCTCAAGTCTGACGACATCTGATTGGAGGTCATCAACTCCTCCTGGGTTCGACTAAGTTCTCTGGTTCGTGCCTCCAACTCTTGCTCCATTTTCCCCAGACTTTCTTCTTTTTTTAAAAGCTGACACAAAGATAAAGTTTCATTGAGCCACCACTAAGAAATATAACTTTAAAAAAAAATCTGGACCAATAAGCTAAACTTTCATAACATTTCTGTGAGCTTCTAAGTGGCCTTATATGCCCAGTAGTGAAAAAGAAAGAAAAGAAAATGAAACAGAACTTTTCCACTTTAATAAATTGAAAAACATATAATTAATATCAAAGACTACTAGGGTATGTTTGTCAGCACTTAGAGGGTGATGACAAGCAAAATCAGAATAATGAATAATCTATTCAAGCATTTAGCTATTAAAACATAAATGCGCACCATGTGTTTTACTTTACTTAGTTCCTGCTGCTGGAACCCCTCTAATTCATCCATTTCATCTCTCCTTTGGAAAAGATTCAAATTCTGGTTCTTCATTTCCTGTAACTGAGCTGTCAGAAACCTTTTCTCCTATTTGGAAGAAGATATCAACTCAGGCAACTAAGATATTAAAATCATATTATGTAAGCAGAATTCTTAATAAAAGTCTCTTGTCAGTAGACAAGAAAACATTGATAATAGGAAGCTTTACAGTAATATGATCATTATGGCATTAATTCTTTAAGTTAAAAAATGTTTTAAATGACAGTTGCGAATAAGGGCAATAAGAACAATTGCTTAACACTTTAAAATCTTAAGTTTGATTAACAATTCCAGATATCCATTTTACATGTTTATTCTCAGTGACAGGCTCAACTGGCTGAATAGCATTAATAACTGGAGTAAGAGATTGAATGCCCTTACAAAATTGGATGCATTTTAAGTAGAACGGACTTCAATGAGCAAGTCAACAGAAATTAGACATGACCAATGTCAGCAGATTACAATTTAGTAAACCATAGCTTCTCAAGATGGATTCTCTTAAGGACAAATCCTGCTGTTGCAGTTTCCAATTCTTGATTGAAAAGAAATTAAAACAGTCTATAAAAATAACATTTCCAAAAATCACCGTGGCTTCAAAGACCTAGGTGTCTCTAGTTTTTCCCTGTCTAAAATACTTCCCAATCCCTCCTTTGAATGGAGAGGGGTGAAGAGAGACAATCTCCTTAGTGAACTGAAGTAGGTTTTATTTAGTTCAGTCATATATGGGTCCCCCTTTTCCATAATTTTAAAAGATAAAAAAATAATCCAATGAGAATTTCAACTGCTACAATCTTAAGTTTCTTATGATAAGAAAACTTTGACCTAATCTATACCACCATGTTTAAGACCATCAACGCCATGCTTAAACTTTTTTTCTTAAAAAAAAATATATATATATATGTGTGTGTGTGTGTATATATATATATATATATATATACATATATATATATATGTATATTATAGAGAGAGAGGAAGGGGAAGGAAGAGAGAAAGAGAAACTCAGATGTGAAAATGAAGCATCCATTCGCTGCCTCCTGCACAACCCCTACTAGGGATCAAGCCCGCAACCTGGGCATGTGCTCTGACCTGGAATCAAACCAGCAACCTATCAATCTAAGAAATAATTTTTCTACCATGAAGAGTAACTTAGGAGTACTCAATGAAAACAAGGAGTGAATAAAGTAGCAACATATAATTCAGGCTGAGGGTGTTGACTATTGATTATTTTAAATTAAAATGTTTTTCTAATTGTAGGCTTGAAATTTCATCTTATTGTTCATGTTAGGGAGCCAGGAATGCATTACTTAAGCATCTACACAGTGTCAGAAAGCTGTGGTGCTGGAATAATCAATTTTCCTCATCTGTGTCTAGCCAAGAAGTTCTCTTATCTGCTCAATGCTGAGCTTGGAGAAATGCACTCCTTTCACTGTCTCCTCCAAGGTTCCTAATGCTACCACAGTGTCAGTTAGGGCCCCAGCAGGAGACAGATGGCAGATTCAGGTTAGGTATTTTGAGAAGAGTTTAATAAAGGGACTTTTCAAAGCTGTGGGCAGAGTTACAAAATCCAAAAGAGAAAATGTGTTAGTAACAGATGGACATGAAGGGACAAAGGGATGAAGAGGTTACAAGAAACCTAGAGAAAGAAACTTTGTCAAGAGGGTAATCCAAAGATCCAACTAAAGCTGTGACCTTTGGCCATGGGATACAACCAATCCAAAGGTTTCCCACATGGAGAAGGTTGGGGAAATGAACACTCTGACCACACTCTTCCTCCACACATAGTTCTGTTAGTGTCCCCACTGTCGGAACCCAATCAGAAGCAAAGGGCCATGGAGCCGGGCTGGTGCAGGTCCCATCAGCCCTCACGCACGGAGAAAGCTGAGGGGAGGAGAGTGTCCTGGGCGGGGCGTACCCACCAACACGGGTAGGACCTGAGTTTCCCACGTCCCTGTGCAGTCACCCAGTGCCTTGCTTCCAAGAGGTGGAGCTACCAGTGCACTGGGCACCGCAGAAACCATGTTCTAAGCTCCGCAGGAGAGGCCCACAGTCGGAATGAGACAAAATTAAAGATGAACTAACCTTTTCAAGCTGCTCCACTTTCTGTGACCATTCCTAAGGCAAAAGAACAAAAAAAGTAGTTTCCAGGGAAGAATATCAATAATATCAAGATTTTCAGAAAACAACCTACCTCATCCCCAAAGCAACCCACCAAACAAACAAAACAACGAATTAAAAAACAAACAAACACATGAACTTGTCTTAATATTAAGAAAGTCAGACCCTAGCTGGTTTGACTCAGTGCATAGAGCGTCAGCCTGCAGACCAAAGGGTCCCAGGTTTGATTCCAGTCAAGGGCACATGCCCAGGTTTCGGGATCCTCCCCGGCCAGGGCCTGGTCAGGGTGTGTGTAAGAGGCAACCAATTGATGTGATTCTCTCACATCGATGTTTCTCTCTGTCTTTCCCTCTCTCTTGAACTCTTTCTAAAAATCAATGGAAAAATATCCTCGGTGAGGATTAAAAAAAAAGAAGCAAGTTAAGAGTCCTAAAAAGAAGAAAATGAACTTTTTATAAAACTCTAGAATACAAATATAAGCCTGCAGATTTTTACTAAGTAAAGCACCCAAACAAAACTATCTGTGCTGTTTGTATGCAGCTTTTTAGCTCACTCCTGACTGGTTTTCCATGGTCACTATTATAACTTCTTGGGATGAGTAGCTGGGACCAGCTGAGTTAGTAACTTTGTAATTGATGTTTAGAAATTAATTTACTAAAGGGGAAGGTCTTCAGTAGCTCCTAATAATTATTTTCCTTCTCATCTTGATTTTACCAATATGCTTTATGCATCTGGTATAAGTTCATGGAAAAGGAATTAGGTCCATTATCACAAATCACTGAAGTGGGGGGAAAATATCCACAGAATCTACCAATTTTAGATTTCTTAATAAACTCATACCATCATAGTTAGCCACTAAGTACAGTATTGGTGAATAATTTTTTTTCTGGTTAGTAATGTCCTAGAAGACAAATACAAACTTTAAAACCAACCAATCGCCCTAACTGGTTTGGCTCAGTGGAAAGAGCGTCAGCCTGCAGACTGAAGGGTCCCGGGTTCGATTCCAGTCGAGGGCGGCATGTGCTGTGGTTGCGGGCACATCCCCAAAGGGGGGTGTGCAGGAGGCAGCTGATCGATGTTTCTCTCTCATCGATGTTTCTAACTCTCTGTCCCTCTCCCTTCCTCTCTGTAAAAAATCAATAAAATATATTAAAAAAAAAAACAAAAACAAAAAACAACCAATCAACCACCCCACCTACTGTAGGTAAATTATACATTTTCTGTTTTGTTTTATTTTTGTTAATTCTCACCCAAGGAGATACATACACACACACACACTCTTTAAATATTCATCTGAGAATATTTTTCCATTGATTTTTTTTAGAGGTGGAAGGGAGGGAGACGGCGGGGAGAGAGAGACACATCCATTGGTTGTCTCCCGCATGCCCCTAACTGAGGGTATGCAGGAGGACTGAGTCTGCAACCAAGGTACGTTGCCCTTGACCAAGAAGCGAACCCGAGACCTTTCAGTGTATGGGCCGATGTTCTAGCCACTGAACAAAACCGGCTAGGGCTATACATTGTTTAAATGTAACATGATAAATTGACCCCCATCTTAAAAAAATCAGGATTATCATTATAATATCTTGGTGCTTATCTTAAATTTAAAATGCCATTGCACAAAATATACAGCATTATTTCCCTTTATTATTATTCATTCAGCATCTTTCAATGGATGATTCTAATGAGATTATAGGAATTCCCTTCTGTCTAGCTAGCTGAAGCTGAAGAAATTTGGGAACAAAGATTTTAAGAACTACGTACATCGTGGATGATGGCTAGCTTGGTATCATCTTCTCCATTATCAAAGGCAAATGTTTGGATCTAGGCTTTGAGAGAACAGAGATCTTTTTCCTTGTCTTGGGCTCGCTACCAGACTATGGACACACAATTTCCGCTCTCTATTTTACAAAGCTACACAGTTGCAGAATGATAAGTATGTCCACATTCTGGACATACTTCATGATTATAACTGTAAAGTTTCTTGATAATATCCCACCCTGAGGCCAAATGAAATCTCAAAAAACATACAGGATGGGGCAAAAGTAGACCTACAGTTGTTTGTATGGAAAATAAAACAATAATAAATAATAATACAAGAAACTGTTTCATGAACTCACAACTATAAACCTACTTTTGCCTCACCCTGTATAGTATAGCATTTCTTTTCTCCTAGGTTGTAAATATTTTCTACCAGGTTTAAGTCATGATTTTAAAAAATCATGTCCCAAATAAAATCTTTCACCAGTCTTGGGCAATGTCAAATATAAAATACCTGGTCCTTTCTGGCTAATGCCAAAGCCTGTTCTTCTGCCATTTTGGCTCTGTTGGCTTGGAATGTCTCATTCTGCTCTTGAAATTTCCGCATGGAAGCTGTTAACAAAGAGGCTTTATTTGAGATATGGAAACATTTCAGAAACAGCATCACAAATAACCCATGTGATTATTATACAATTGTCACCTAACAAAAAGGCCAAGGTCACATAAATGAATTATGAGACTGAGAAAAACCTGATCCATCTCAACTTTCCCGGAATCGTTTGGCCTTAGTAATAGAATACCATTTTTGTTTATTTGTTTCCTGTTGTTTTTGTCTTTTTGTAATAATCAAGTATATACATTTAGGAAGATGCCAAAAGGTAACTTTTTAAATGGTACAATGAAAGAACACTGACTGGGTTAGGTAAGGTGCAAGAAAACACCAATGCTGTTGCTAAGTATGGCTATTAACAATTTATAGAATTAAAAAGAAAAACAAAAATCAAAACAAAGCAACACACAAAAATATTTCACTTTGTTTTCCTTTTAAAAATTTTTTTTAGTATATATCAACTGAAAATAACTTTCTACTTCCGTTAGCATTTTCTTTGATTGGACCAAAGAATACCATATGATTCAGGGTAGAATAAACAAAATATATATTCTATTGTTGGAGGAGGAGTGATGACAGCTAGAGATTTCCCCCAGTTTCTGAACATAGAAGGAATGCAGCAATGGCTAGAACCAAGTCTCCTGATTTAGAGCCCAGGGCCAGGCACTAGATTTTGCCAATAAACTGGTCAACTGGATGGACACAGCTTCCTTCTAAGAAACATGCCCATAAGGCAACATGCCCATAAATACGAGTTGTATGTTACTAAATATCAAACAAATGTTATATCAACCTATTAAAAATACTTGATACTACTCATAAAACAAAGATTTGAGCTGTGACAAAGTTAAAAACTTAACCATACACAATTGTTTCATTTAAAAAAACTAAACGCTAAAAATATTGGGGGGGAAAAACAGGAAAAAAAAATACGTACAATCCTGGTGTTTTTCTAATGCAATTTCAAGCTTCTCTTTTATCTTCTGCAAGTTTCGGACCTGTTCAGCATAGTCTTGGGTGAGGAGGGTGACGCACATACCAGGAATGGACAAACATCAGGAAAGGAAGTTAATTAAACAAAAAAATGAATGAAATGATGATGATTTTTTCAGCTTGAAAACGATTCCTGGTAAGGATAGCTAGGCAGACAGCCTCCCAATAACAATGAACAAGACAGGCAAACAGGTAGTACAAACTATCCAAGGTGTAAATGGAGAATACGAATAGGCAGCTTTGTTTAGACTTGATTAAAAAAAACAAGAATTGGGCCTGGATTGGTCATCAGAAATGCCCTGCTATGAAAACCAGTATCATCTCATTACTTAATTTCAAATCTCAGTTTTCACTTCCCCTTCCAGTCTTAGCAGGATAGATCAAAGGGAACTCCCTAAATAGCGTACAGTCCGTACAACTAAGTAGCAGTGGTTAGGGCACTAGCAGACACCTTACCACAGCAATGCCTTTACAGTGAAAATGCTTCATTTTCTAAAAAAGTCAGCTTCCTTTCCACACAGGAACTGAAGCTGCCTATGCCATTTTAAAGGTGAAAGTCAGAATTAATTAGCTGAGTGGCCAAGGAAGATAGTATGGTGTAGTGGAAAAGTAGACAGGCTTTAGTTCAAATCCCAATTCTGTCAGTCCTTAAGCAAATGATTGATCCTAAGTATTAGTTTCTTCATTTATTAAATGATGATATTAAGAGTACCTACCTCAAAGGATGCATTAGATAAAAAACCCTTTTATATGCCTTATGCACCTAGCACACAGTGCTCAATAAAAGGGAGCTGCTATTGTTATTATTCATACTGAGCCTGTCGGAAAATACCCAGGACATATGTGAGCTCAGTAAATGTCAGTTCTCTCCCCTGTCCCTTCCTCTCTAACCTAAGTCAAGCTCAAACTATTGTCCCTTCTACATTAGGGAGGGTACATGTCATTTTATAGTTTCCCCACAACATTAAACAAATGTGCAGTTATTTCACCTGTGTTACTGAAACTATTTACACTAGAGGGTAAGAGGACAGTAATAACTGAGTTTAAAGCAGACTGTAATTAAGAGTATGGACTCTAGCCCAGCCGGCACGGCTCGGTGGTTGAGCGTCAACTTATGAACCAGGAAATCACAATTCGATTCCCAGTCAGGGCATACGCCTGGGTTGCGGGCTCAATCCCCAGGGTGGGGCATGCAGCAGGCAGTCAATCAAAGATTCTCTCTCATCATTGATGTTTCTATCTCTCTCTCCCTTTCCCATCCTCTCTGAAATCAATAAAAAATGTATTTAAAAAAAAAGAGTATAGACTGGGATCCCAATCAAGCAAATCTGGATTTCGATCCCAGCTCTACCACTTACTACTTGTGCAACCTTAACCTTGCTATGTCTAATAAGGCTACAGTGAGGACAAACTGATAACAAACTAACCAGAAGTTGGGAGCTACATTATGGACCTTTGATAACTGAACAAACACACAGATGTCACATAAAATTTGGGGAATTTTGCAGTCTATTGCTTTCACTCCAATAAAATGGGCATAAGGCCAATGGACAAAAAGAAACACAGAAACCACTAACCACTTCACACGATGAAGCTTTCAAAATGTGTCCACTGGCAGAAACAAAATAAGAACTCACACTGTATCACAAACGGTCATGACCTGCTCAGGCAAAGGATTTAATGGGAGTTGTGTAAATTGTAAAGTGCACACAAAAAAACACAGCAAGCGTTACCTTTTCTATAAAGATGCTGAAGTTAGAAATACTATTGAAATGTGGCCCAGACCAGAGTAACACTTACATAGGTGATATGTAGCTGTAGCAAGTGGCAACAGAGCACCAAATCCCTCTGGTGTTGAAGAATCCAACATGTGTTGGTCATTCCCTGTAAATGGTATCCTCTACCCCTCTCCATCAGAAAGCAAGCTATGCTAATGGCTAAAGAAGACAGTCAAGTCTATTTTACATACACTTTTAATACCTTTTATATCCATGGCTGGAAACCTCAGGAGCAGAAAACGTAAGTTTTGTGTGCTTTTTAAAGTTTAAAACTCAGTTATGAATTTTACACTATTTGGTATACTAACAAAAGAAGGAACAAAGGGGGTATAAATTTCTCCTTTCTTTACTAAGAAAAGCAAAATACATAAAAATAACTATAAGATTATACTATATAGCTATTTTATAGGGAGAGAGGGTCAGGGAAGGAAAATTGCCTTCGTTTGTTTTTCATGAGTTCTTAGACATACCAGAAAGTCTGGCCTCTAATTTCCGTATCTGTTCATTCCTTCTCAAAAGCTGAGACGAAAGATCTTCTCTGGAACTGCTTCCATCGGAAGCCTGTTGAGATAGACACACGAAGTAGTATTCATACATGGGTTTTTGGAAGTGCGAGACCACTTTCTGAACTGAACCAGTACTGAACCAGAAAGCGACGACTTATTTTAAGTTTGGTTACACTTTGTGATCACTGAAAAGCTTAACTTACATGGATCCTAGCTCATCAACCTATAAAGCAGAAGCAACACTATATCCATCTACAGTACGAAGGAGACGTGAGATGCCAAACAAATAAATTATGTGTGTATACATGGTATTGAAATAAATAATGGTGAAAAAACCCATTATGATCTTATTACACCAAGTACAAAATACAGAATATATGTTTTCAGTGATTTAAAAAAAAAGAAGTCACTTTATTTTTCCAAAGCTAAAGTCCTGGGATAAAGAGGGAAAAGTTCTGTGATGATAAAGTGGGGAAGGCTAGTCTGGGAGGAAGAAACTATTACTGACATTGATCAAGTTTCAGTATCTTCATCTATGAAACGAAGAGATGTCATTTTAAAGCTCTAGAGTGAATCAAATTTTCCTCAACAGTCTACATTATCGTAAAACATTATCTTTATTATTTTGGTCATTGCTTACTGTTGTTAATAAGTAACTTGCTTTATGTTTTTACCTTTTATTATAAAATTTTTAAAAACACAGACAAGTAGGGAGAATGGTTTAGTGAACATTAATTTTACAATTGCTGATGTTTTCCCAAATTTGCTTCATCAATTTTTATTTTACTAAAGTACTTTAAATAACGTCATGGCCCTGGCTGGTGTGGCTCAGTGGGCTGGGCATCTCCCATGCACCAAAAGGTTGCCAGTTCATTCCCAGTCAGGGTTCAATCCTCGGTAGGGGGAGTGCAGGAGGCAGCCAGTCAATGTTACAATCTCACATCGATGTTTCTCTCTCTCTCTCCCTTCCTCCTTAAAATCAATAAAAATATTTTAAGATAAATAACAGGCATCATGGCATTTCATCCTAAATATTTTGATAAATATTTCTAAAACATAAGGACATGTTCCTTTAATACCACAATACCATTACCATACTAACATAATTAAAAATAATAGCATCTAATATCTAGTAATGTTTCTCAATTTATTCCCAAAATGTCTTTCAAGGTGGTTGAACAATTCACTTTAAATCACTGACCCATCTAGCCACTTGTCCATCCACCATGTATGGAGATGCAGTACAGTGTACAGTTAAGAGGGAGTCTCTGTAGGCAGAAGGTCCAGGTTAAAGTTCCATCTTCACCACTTATAAAAGTATAGAACTTGGGCCAATTATTAACTTCTCTGTGCAATGGTTGCAAATGTAAACTATGATAACAAACATGATGTACTTCATAGAACTGTTATGATTAAATAAATCAATAATTGTCAAGTCCCTAAAATAGAGCCTTGCATAGTTTTAATACATATCATCTATTATTAGAAGTTATGATTATTACTGTTAGTGACACATCCTATTCTCAGCATTGTGCTAATAAGCACTGGAATAGAGAGAGGTAAAACAGAGTCCTTACCTAAAACAGCAGCAGCCACAGTAACTGCTAATCATGAAATACATGTTAAGGGTCAGGCACTATATTACAAAGTGTTTTATATACTGTGCAGCAAAGAGTTAACATCACAGGCCCGAGACTGCCATTTTTAGCAAGGTCTGCTTGGAAGGTTAGCCCTTGGCCGACCTATGGGAACTTAGATTTTGCAAGGGTTCCCACTATTCCTGATAAGAAAGGCTCATTGTACCCTAAACTGATTATGCAAAAAAAAAAAAAAAAATATATATATATATATATGGTTTATGCTAACACCTGTTCTTCTTCCGGGAGTCTGAAATTTTGGTAAATGACTAGCCTCCCAATACAATCCCTGGGCACTGAAATGCTAATGGTCTTCTCTGGTGAACAACATTTCACCCTGTGTCACCACATTTGTCTGAGAAGCACAGAGCCTGAAATAAATGGAAGTAAGTGTATTGCCAGCAAATGGAGTAGGGGGTAAGTGTGGGACATGGAAGCCAAATATAGGGTGTCCCAAAAAATGTATACACATACTTTGAATAATTATAAAGGCAGTATTTATCAAAAGACATTTCATTTTTAAAATTGAGCTATTAGCTGTTAAAGTCTATATGTATTTTTGGGGGGAACACCCTGTACCTGTTAACTGCTTGGACACCAAGAAGTGAAGGAGGAAAGAGTTTAAATGCCTCTAAGGTTTCTTGCTGGTGACTTGGGGGATGAGGTGCACATGTGGAAATGAAGTTACTGAATTCACTTTTGCTCATTTTAGAATTTAAGATGTCAGAGGAAAAACATCTGGTTGGAGAACTATATGCAGCAGGTTATACGTATCTGAAAATAGTGCGGGACCAGAATGTATACATAGTACGTACAAATCAATTACTTTAGAAGGCTCAAAGCAAAGTATTTCCTGAATTCAGGCCAATCTGTATGTCTGAAACACATTCGCAATGAGAGCCTTCATTTAGCATGTCAGCACGCAGGTATTTCTGCCTGCATGAAAGGCAAAGCAGGTATTTCAGTCACAGAACTCAAGAGTTAAAACTATATCCTTCAGCCCTAACTGGTTTGGCTCAGTGGATAGAGCCTCGGTCTGCAGACTGAAGGGTCCCAGGTTCGATTCCGGTCAAGGGCATGTGCCTTGGCTGCGGACACATCCCCAGTAGGGGGTGTGCAAGAGGCAGCTGATTGATGTTTCTCTCTGATCAATGTTTCTCTCTATCCCTCTCCCTTTCTCTCTGTAAAAGATCAATAAAATATATATTAAAAAAACAAAAAACTATATCCTTTAGCCTGGTGATCAAATGTGCACTTATTTATATTTCCTGTTAAATATAGGAGGCCAATGGTAATTTAGATTTGGTAGTCTTATTGTTTCATCCCAATAACCTAATAGCTTCTGCCATGAAATCTGACCCAGACAGGTAGTACAAGAAAGGAGGAAGATGAGTCATCTGACCATGGAAACAACTCAAGTGTCTGTCACCAGGAGTAGACAGAGATAAACTGTCTTCAACGCTGGAATCCTATACAGCAGTAAAAATAAGTGGACCACAGCTGCACGTAACACAGATGCATTTTAGAAACATGTTGAGTTGGGGGCAGCTAAAGTCCAAGAAGACTAGAGTATACAACTTTTTATAAAGCTCAAAAATAAGCAACATTAAACAACAAACTGTTGATGAATATATTCATATCTGGTAGGATATTTTAAAAATCAGGGGAATGATAACACAACATTTAGGATAGTGGTTATCTGGAGGGGAGGGAGGGGAAGGGAATGGGGAAGAAGCATATGAGTAGCTTCAACAGTATCAATAATGTTCTAGTTCTTTAAATAAGTGACAGATGAACAAGCCGTCATTTTATTTTTATGCTTTATACTTTACATTTACTTTATATACGTATTTTTTACATATATGAAGTACTAAAAGCCATTTTGGGAAAGTTATCTGACTTTAAGGGGATCCTGCCATATGCCAGAGACATACTTTTAATCCTAAGACTTAACATTTAAAGTGAGCAGCATCCTCATTTTTTGAAAACTTTCCAATCACAAAGGTTCTTTATGAATAAGGGACATACTGCAGTCAGCAGTGCCATCTTTTCATCAACCTTCCCAATAAAGGAGTGTACTTTGGCTCACTCCACACGACAACTCAGAGACCTTGTTACGCAACAATGGCTTAAAGTATTTGTCTACAGAGACAACAGACCGAAGTATTGAGAAATGAAATGTAAAAGAAGATGCACAAGATACATAGATGAAAAAAGAGGACAATGTAAACAGTATGGAAAGGAACTCACAGAAACATAAGGAAAAAAAACAGAAAAGCACCTTAGAATAAGAAGAATCCTATAATAACTCTAAATAATCTTTTAATTCAAAAATATACTTATTGGAATGATCCCTGAGGTCTTATTTTAAATATATATTGAGATGGTAACAAATATTAAAAACTAGGAAGATACTTACAAAGTCATCTCCTGAGTCAGCTCCCATAGAGGCAACAGACTCCTTGCTCACCGACCGTGGGATCCTAGTAGCACCTCCTGGCCTCTGGGAAACAGCAGACTCTTCTGCAACTTTCTTCTTTAGTTTTGCAAACATTTTGCTGTGTGGCTATCCTGTCCTGATGACCAGCTCTTACACCACCACAGCAAGTCTTTAGGCCAGCAACCGAGAATTCCAAGACAGGTGTCTAAAGAGTTCCAGACATCCAGGCCAGCTGCATTCCCTCTTAAATGTGGGTCACCTATGGCAACACAGAATCTATAATCAGATGAAAGAGAACTCTTAAGTTAAACACTGGAGAGATTTCACATCTGAGTTGCTATGTTAAGCTTCAGGTTTCAAAATTAAGTTTCACAATTTTCCATGTATACTTAATAGAACACAATTACTAAACATTTAAAAAGCGCTCAGGTACCTCATATGCATATACAGATGAAGAAATTCAGTCTGGAGTTGGTGAAGTAATCTGCCAAAGACTATGTGGCTAAGTGGCAGGGCTGGTATCCCTATTCCCCCCATGTCCCCCACCCTGTTTGCCTCCCGCATACACCCCAACCTGAGATCAAACCCACAACCTGGGCATGTGCTTTGACAGGGAATCAAACCCACATCCTGTCAGTATACAGGACGAGGCTCCAGCCTACTGAGCCACACCAGGCAGGGCCCTACTCTTTTCCTTTAGTACATACACCATGTTGGCCAGGGCACATTAAGTAAAAATTTCCAGGGTAAACATTAACATCACATAATGATTTTGAATCCTCCTCCCAATAATACTAACTACAGTTCCGTGTTGCTGTTGTGTTTTAAGATGAAGATAAAAACATGTAACTCAGGCCGAAACCGGTTTGGCTCAGTGGATAGAGCGTCGGCCTGCGGACTGAAGGGTCCCAGGTTCGATTCCGGTCAAGGGCATGTACCTGGTTTGCGCGCACTTCCCCAGTGGGGGATGTGCAGGAGGCAGCTGATCGATGTTTCTCTCTCATCGATGTTTCTAACTCTCTATCTCTATCTCTCTCCTTTCCTCTCTGTAAAAAATCAATAAAATATATTTAAAAAAACAAAAAACAAAACAAAACAAAAAAAAAACATGTAACTCAGTGTGAGGAAAAGGTGCAATGGTGTTATGTTCCCAGATGGTTTGCAATCAGCTAGTCACCAGAAAAAGCTGACAACCTGGCAAAGGCCAGGCAAGGCAGACAACTAACTATATTAAATAGGTATCAGATATCCTTACACGTTTCCTGGAAACGCTCTGTGGTGCTCTTTAAGGATGATGAAAATGACCTCAAATCCGTTTCTTTTCATAATACCCAACAATGAGACCCAAACGCCTCTTCCTCCCGATGCTGTATAAAACGCGAATATCCTGGCTCGGGCCTTCAGTTCGCATGTGCTGTGGAGGACAGCCCAGCTCGGCTCCTACCATCGACAGGTGACTTTCTACCTCCGCGGGTCACCCCTTTCGGTCCGCACAAGGGTTCAAAAATGTTACCTTCAGTGTCTGTCAGCCACCGACTCACCTGGCTTATCTACTAGATTTAAGACGGCATCGGAGGTCAAAGTTTTCTGTCCTGCATGAAGACAAAGATAAAATGCATTGGATATTTCTCTCCAAGCGTCACACTGAAACGCGGAGGGGGCTGGGCAGGCTGCAGGGAGGGTGATGGAGGGAGAGGGAGAGACACCTGCCCCCGCCGCGGGCCTCAGAGAGCCAGCCCCCCGCACCTGGGCGTCTCTGTCTTGGTGATTGGCCTACGAGTTTCACTCACAGGCACAACATTGAAAGAAAAGCCTCCAAGAACCACCTCTCTCACTGCAGCCGGTGCCTCAACAGACTTCGCACTGGGATCCCGGGGCGGAACAACTTGCAGGAGGCGACGATGTCCCGGGGCCCGTTTCTCAGGTGATTCCGAGTCGCACTGTTTACCTGGGGCCCTGACTCGCCTCGAGAGAGTCGCGGGGGGCAGATGGCTCAGTGGGGCACGGGCAGCTGCTTCACGCCCGGGGAGGCAGGCGGGAGCCTCCCGTCGCTCAGACTCCTTCCAAACCTGCCGGAGCGAGGACTGTCGGGGAGGGTGGGACCCGCGCCCCTCCCCTCCCACAGGGTGGCCCTGAGGCCAGAGGAGGAACTAGTCGGAGGTC